GTTCCAAAGAGAGGTGATGGTGGATGCTGGTGATGGTGGTGATGGTGGTGGTGGCGGTGGCGGTGGCGGTGGTTGTGATTGGTGGTGATTGGTGGTGTGATGATGGATGGCGGTGATGATCGTGGTGGTGATGGTGGTGCGTGGTGATGTTTTGGTGATGATGGTGGTGGTGATGATGGCGGTCTCTGGCTCCTGTGGATGGCTCGGGTTTTGAAGCACTTGGATTGGCGCCTCTTCCACACCTGCACCAACGCCCACGTGGCCCTATCTGAATGTCCATGTGACATTCCAAAGCCACCCCAAGAATCGGCAATAAAAAAGTCAAAGGACACCCGTAAAACCAAAGGTTTGGTGAGGTGTTGATGTTTATAAAATGTTCGATGTAAGTCACTTGCAGGGGAAACGCAACAAAAACCCTGAAGCAACTCATTTCATAAACAAAACCAAAGACATCAACAAGATATCAAATGAATCCAAAGACATCAAAAGAAATCAACTGTTTTACTCACCAGAAGATGATGAACAATTAAATGCCTCGGTGCTTGTTTGCAATCGTGAGTAGGCACATTCCAACCAGTATCATTTACACCATTTCAAGCTTAATCAGCGTAGCTAATGGGCTGCATGGCTTTCGCAATGAAAAAGCACCACATTGCACTTTGCAATTGTAGAGGAATTCCCAACTAGCCCAACCAGTGATTGAGTCCGAGACTTCACAGTCTGGGCCACATTGCATTGCAATGAACAAGACAATCCATGACAATGTCGCTAGTACAGGACTCCATCTTCGGTCTCCACTGGCTCTAGCTCCACTGCTGGATATGCATCATCATCGCCCTGTCGAGGATCAAAATCAATGGCTTCCGGACCTTCATCTGTTGCTTCGACGCCCATGGCTGAGCCGCTGGAGCTGGGTCGTGAGAGCCTTGACGAGGATTGGGTTCCCGACCTCCCTCTGGCGTTGCAATGCCATCATCCGTAATTGCCAGCCATTCTTCTCGGCAATCACCACCCATGGAGGAGAGAATTGGTGAGGTGAAAGGCCACTCAATGAGAGATAAACTGCGCACAATGCGATTGCCATTGGGGCCAACATGAGAAGCGCACGGACCTCCTGTCAAGCTCGATGACACCTCCTGCATCTTTGGCAGCTCCAGCCTCGCGCATGAATGCATTGTAAATAGCAGCAAATTGGCCGCCCACGCCGATGAGAACCTCCAACCAAAACCCGGCCTTAACACTTACCGTAAGAACCCCTAGTGTGACAACACTGTTCGGGAAAAATTAAAACAGCAAACTACTGAAAGAGTGACTGAACAGCGGAAACCACTAAGCTAGATGTTTCTCGGAGAATGAATCTCCAGCACAACACACTCAACATGCATATAACGTTCTGTATCTATCTACTACCTACCTACCTACCTATCCAGGTCGTCCCCCTCTCCTCGATCCGATCAAACCATCCGACTCCGCCTCGAATTCGTCGCCCGCCACGACTTGGACTTTGGGCGTGAAGATCTGAGCAGCGAGGCCGTGAGGCCGTGGAGGACCGAGGCTCGAATTCGTTCGCCGTACAACGCAAGGAATGATGATGTGGCAGCAGGTTAGGCAGCAGGTTGCAGGTGACCTCCTTTTTTTGAAAAGGAAGTATAACCGCTTCCTTCCCCAAACAAATAAACAAAAGCACTCATGTGACCCCCCCGTCCATCCGCGCAAAACGCCCTTGGACAATGGACCCTTGGAACACTATGTGGCTGCATACGTTCCTTCCACTTCTGTTTGGCAAGAGGCTTGGGGCGAGGGTATAACTTGGGTTGTTCCCGGTGCCAAAACTGGGATAAATGCTCCATGTGGGAAAGCATTCTAAAGGTTCTAAAGTCTACAGCAACATTTTGTTGGCGCTGGTTTTTGACCCAGGATACCTTGATTGACCTACTACCTGGTGTCGGTCGTTCATGACAAATGGTGGACGAACGACCGGGCTCCAGGGTTTGATCCATCCCCATGTATGAAAGCAAGAGAACATAAACTAGAACATCACTGGATCCATCCCCATTTACAAACTTATATAGTTTATCTATACCGGCAACATCCGGCAACTACTTCCAAGGGACCTCAGGTAAAGCCTAAGTAGTTGAGGGTATGTGTATCTCCACGTTGTGAGGATTTTACTTCGACCCAAAGAACCTTCAAACAGGTCTTTGCATCAAAACCGCCCCGCACCACGCTTTCTTGGAGACTGCGAGCGAGCGAAACCTCGCGGTTTGACGGACTCCTTCAGTTCCATTGAACGGCCCATCGAGGCCCCCCATCCGGTGATGTTCCTGGCGCGCCCAAACAGGGATTGCATTGTTTCACGTGGAAAAACATGGAAAACAACACATGGACAAACACACATCGTATGCAGAACTATACCAAACCATCCCAAGAGTCACCGCCACAGACTCTCTCCATCTGTGTCTCTAGCGCCCCGGACGACGCAAAAGCCCAGCGAGTTCGTGGAGTCCACCTCACTCCGGTCCAGTGTCCCCGTGGCGGCCGGGTTTGGGGCCGAACAAGCCCAGCACAGAATGCCATATGGTGAGGATGTCTTTTTTGGTTTGGATTTCTGGTTTCTGGTGGTGGCGGTGTTCTTGTTTGGTGTTTATTGGGGTGTCCTACAATTTTGTTGGACATGTCGTCTTCCAAGGATAAAACACTCCAAAACGACGAAAACAGCTGCTTACTTTAGGTGGTAGCAGGGTGTTGCCAGAACTGGTTGACGATGCTGATGTAGCAAACCTGAACAAACTTAAAGCACCGCTTGGCCAGGCAACCGCACATCTCCATGTCTCCATGTCAAATGTGGTGTGCAGAAAGGTCAGTCGATGAACCAACTTCCAGCAGGTCAGGCTGATGTTGTGCAGACTCGGGTCCGTTTATGGTCTTGCTATGTCCCCATGGACATGAACGCTTGATCTTTATGCTGAAACAAAACATCCCGCCAAACGGCTCAGAGGGTATGTAGATCCTCAGGGTTTGTGGTCCGGCTCAATAAATCTCCGCTCCACAAAATCTCATGCACCTCCTTCGTCCTAGTATCGCCTAGCATTCTTCGTGGTAACACTCCCAGGAATCATCATGGAAGTGGACAACTTCCACGATGCATGTAACCAATGTAGACTCTGTAGGCTCTTCATCAACAACCCCACCACATGAAGGGGTGTTGCACATGGGGGGTTCAGATCCCATCACTGAGGTGCCGGGCGCAGAAGTTCATGAGCGGCACTTCTGAAAGCCGTTGCGCCGTGTGAGCTTGGGTGTCCAATCGCACCTGGCGGATCGTGAGCATTGGGTCTCACCATGGGTTGGGTGTCCTGAAAGTCTTACAGTAGTAGCTGGATGCTCGATGCTTAAAAATTGTATATCAGTGGATGATGATGATGATGATGATGATGATGATGATGATGATGATGATGA